AATGTTCCACAGTAGGGGTCCTAACACGGACCCCTGCGGAACACCGCGATACATTGCCCTTTCGCACTGGAGTTCCGATTTATTGCGGAACACCAGTCTTCTATCCCGGAAGTAGTCCCTTATTATTGAGACCAGGTGGGGGGCGACCCTGAAATGGGCCAACCCCGCCTCCACCCGGTCCCAAGGGAGGGAGTTGAAAGCGTTGGCGATGTCTAGGGACACCGCCAACACAACTCCCCCCCCCTCACGACGGCCTCCGAGAGGGACCGGACGCGCGTGATCGCGTCCACGCTTGATCGTCCCCCCCGGAAGCCGTATTGCTCGGTGTTGAGCGTAGGACTACTCCGGGATAGGTGCCGGACGAGGCGGGCGTGTATTATTCTTTCGAATAGTTTGCTCGCCTTGTCGAATAGGCATATTGGCCTATACGCGGAAGTGCTATCCTCCGCCTTGCCCCCTTTCCTGAAGAGGACCAAGTTGGCCCTCTTCCAGGGGCTGGGGAACGCCCCGATCCTCAAGCAGGAGGTGAAGAGTCGCATGATGCGGCTCTTCACCTCCCCATTCCTCATTGCCAAGGCCCATATTGTGCCTGGGATGCCGTCAGGTCCCGGCGCCCTTTTCTTTGCGCCGAGTTTCCTGACGGCCATGTCCATCTCCACCATAGTGACCCCGACTCCTTCGTCCTCCCCGTCTGGGGGGGGGGCCTCATAGGGGGGAATGCAGGCTTCCCCCCATGGAAAATGGGCCCCTACAACCCTATCTAAGAAGTCGGGGTCCAGGGACGCTGTCGGTGGGGGCACCCAATTGCGCAAGTGTCTCATCACAATGTGATAAGGGCGCCCCCATGGGTCCCCGTCTATGGTGGAGAGCAAATCGTCCCAGGCACGGGCCTTGGCCTTAGCAATGGCCGCCTTGTGGGCTTCCCGTTTTTCTCGGTACGCCCCCCTGGCGGCCTCCCTGCCTTCATCATCTCGTTCCCGCCGGTCCATCGCCCTCCTGGCCTGGCCGGCGGAGCGCCGAAGTTCGGCAATCTCCGCCGACCACCAATACACGGACCGGCGGGGGTGCGGCCGGGATCGGGGCATGGCGGCATCGCACGCCGCCGTCATCACGTCCCGAATCCCGGCCACCTCCTCCTCGATGCCTGACCGGGTTCCCGGAATGGGACCCGGTTCAGCCCAAGTGGCCGCCGTCAGAGCGACCGCCAGCTTGTCGTGGTCGAGTTGGCGGAGGGCCCATCTCTGTAATCTGACCCCCCCCTGGCCGCGCCTCCGGAGCACCTCCTCTGGGGTGGCGACCAGCCGGACCACTATATATCTGTGGTCCGTGAGATTTTCTCTGCTGGTCCCCACCCTCCAATCCTGTATTAGTAGGGCCGCCTGGGGAGACGCAAAGGTGACGTCTATCACCGATCTCTCCTGCGGCCCGACGAAGGTGCTCCTCCGGCCCCTGTTGATGGTACAGAGGCCGTGGGACGCGACCCATTCTTCTAACACCCCGCGCCTTCGGCACCTTACCGAGGACCCCCATAGTGGCGATTTGGCGTTGAGGTCCCCGGCTACCAGGACCGGTCTTTGGGGACGCCTCGAGATGAGGTCCCCTAGCCGTCCCAAAAGGTGCTCGAAGTGAGCGAGGTTCCACGAGGGAAGGGCATACACTCCAACCACATCCAGGGCCCCCTACTCGACCGCGACATAGCCTCTCCCCCTCTCCACGAATAAGATCGGGGGAGAGGCGTCTCCCTCTTGCCAGAATATCGCCACCGAGCACTTACCACCCCGCCCCTCAACGTCACCCATTATGGTGGGGTGACTCCCGGGGACGAGGTGTGGCTCGGAGGCGATTCCCAGCCCGCATCCGCGCTCGCGAAGGGACTGCATGAAGAGCCCTTGAGCTCCGCGAGCGCGGTTTAGATTTGTCTGGAGGAGGCGGGTAGCCATTATGGCTTAGCCCCGCACTCCTCCAGGCCCTCCCCTGACTTCTTCGCGGGAGAGGGGCCCTCGATTGGGTTATCCCTCTCCCGCTATCCCGCTCTTTTGCTGGCCCCGGCCGCCCGCGGAATCCTCTGCTCTTTAGGGGCAGGGTCCGTGGGGGGGGGCGGGGTCGCGAGTTTTGGGGCCTCTCCCTCCGATGTCGGGGGGGGAAGCTCCTGACCTTTCTCTGGGAGTGGAGTGGGAGGGGTATTGGAGGCTTTACGTCTCCTTCTCCCACTCCGGCCCCCTTTGCCCCGCTTCCCCATTTGGCAAGCGGGGCCTCCTACTCTGTGGCCACAGGGCCGCCCGGCGTCACGGCACACCGGACATGTCGCCGGTGCGTCGCACGCCGCGGCCCTGTGGCCGGCCGAACCGCAGTG